AGTTCCACAGGGTTCAGTGCTAGGACCAATTCTGTTTACATTATACATGCTTCCCCTAGGCAGCATCATTAGAAGACATAGCATACATTTTCCCTATGGTCTCTGGCGGAAGCGAGGCAAATCCAGATGGTGCGCTGGCCTCTGGGCGTGGACGCCGCTGGACCGGCCGGCACAGTGACCTCCGGTTTTTGCTGTGTAGGTTTTTGCCTGCTGCGCATGCTCTGACTTCCGGCTTGGCTGCCTTCTTCCGAGAAGCGGGAACAGGTGCAGACCCCTGCCCCTGACTTTTAGCCTTGTACATGAACTGGAAAATACACAAAAAACTGTTTTTCTATGAAAAATGTATGCATAGTCATTTCACTGACATATCATTAAGCATAGCAACTTCACTAACTGCAGATGTTCATTTAGACTCTTTCTCTAATCAGTTTTCTGGAGTTAACTTCAATATTTTTATGTATCACTGTAAGGTTGTTACTTTACAATATAAAATTGTTGTGTTGTTGTGATTGGGCAGTTTATATAAATAAACCTGAATTGCATTCAATAGAAAGTCATCGGTATGTCTATTATGTGCAATTCCAACAAGACTGTTCATAGAAGTCTCACCATTAATTAATATTACAATTTTAAATTGAATCATTTTGTGTCTGTTCACAGGATATGGATACCAGGCTGTATTTAAACCACTACTTAAAAAGCCTTTACTTGATCCAGCTGTCTTAGCTAAATATAGGCCAAATATCAAACTTCCTGTTTATTTAAGAAATTATTGAAAGAATAAATAGAAAACAGCTGACTGATCAATAATTCAGTTCAGAGGCTACACTGTTGGTGTTAAAGGACATGCAATGCAATGGTTTGAATATGTCTGTCTGACAGATTCTGTATTGTGCATGTAAATGTGGAGTCTTGTTCACTCCACAGGGTTTTGTGCTGGGACCAATACTATTCACATTATACGTGCTTCTCTTTCCATGTTGTTAGAAAAACATACTTTTACATACCTTCATAATTTTCTACACTAACTGGATGTTTTTCCATGAATACATTTTTAATGCTTAAAGTCTTTCAAATAAATCCTCCCTATTACTCATATGGAAATCCTGCTAAATAGGTCCCCTTATTGGTCCTCTAATCATGGGACTTACAGTTGTATATTTTTGGAGAGAAATCATCCACAAAAACATCTTTCATCAGCCTTTTTTCTCTCCATCAGAACGGTTCACTGATGTGTTAAGATGTCGACCCTGTCACATGTATTTACAGTCAAAGTGTTTAAATTATAATGATAATTAATGTTACAAAAATGGTTTCATTTTTCATTTTTAAAAATATAAAAACACCTTTTTATATAATACATAGTTATATATATTTAAAAAACAAACCATAATGCAGTTATAAAGCTTATGATAAAAGATTTATATCCTGAAATAACATTGAATAGTAGGAATGCCCCCGCTCAGCAAACACCTACCTGAAGCCAGATGACACATATCAGTTATTCATACTGCAGCCGTGACTTTGACTCCTTGTGCTGTATCCAAAAACAACGAGGTTATTTTCTGTGGCCTAAAGATCTTAGAACTAGACTCTGGATGACATTACCTTGATGTCCAGCAACACTGTGAGGAACTCTCAGATCAGGATATGTCCTTCGACGGGCCCTGAACAAATATGCAGGATTGCTATTATCTGTAAAAAGAGTGATGCTACAACACTAGTTCATGCATGCATTATTTCTAGGCGGGACTACTGTCAGTCATTAACATCAGGTTGTTCTGAAAGTTGCCTTCAGTTGGTTCAGGTGCTGCAGTGAGAGTACCGGGAATTTAAAAATCCTGCAAAGTCTTGAATAATGAGGCCCTATCACATCCGAAAGTCCTATATTTTCACAGTGCCTTCAGACTGAGAGCTCCTCACTGGGGGGGCAGAGCTTTCCTCTCTCAGACGCCTTTCCTGCTGTGCTGTCCATAAGCTTCGGCCCGGTCTGCCTATGCTCTCGTTCTTCTTTTCTCTTTGCCCGTCTGGTCACATCAGCCTTTCTTCCTGTTAAAAGGCTGTTTATCCTCCCCTCATACCCTTCCTCCCCAAAGTGGGGTCGTTTGGGCTTTCTCCAGAACACTGTAGGGCATTGACCTTACAGTATAAAGAGTCTTAAGGTGACTGTCAGTGTGTTTTGAAGCTATATAAATAAACCTGAACAGAAGGGAAGCATCACAATTGCTTCATTCCTGTTAGTCCCAGTAAATCCAGACAACCTCTCCATTCAAGCACCACACTTAGCCGGTCTTACAAATGGCAGTAGACTGCAGTTTAATATCAGTTACAGCCTGAAGTTACAGGAACCTTCAGGGTACAGTGATTAAGATGCAGCATGTTCACACATTATGAAAAAACAAAATCCTCAGACTATACCCCATCAAAGCCATTATCCTTGCTTTGGTACACGCTGCTTAACTCCAGCCTTATAAGTTAAGTTATGCTTTGTGATCACGTCCACACCGTACGGGAAATAGTGGTAAAAAAAAGAAATCGTGCTATTCTACAGTCAGACTGGACCTTTGGCAGAATGAGGCCACCGACAGGTTAAAGTGCCCCTGTGTACCCCCTGTCTGGCTTTTCTGTTCACGTGGTTTTCAAAATGAACCTCATCACTCTTTTTTCTGTGGCTCATCGATGTGACACTTGGAGTTCAAATGAGAAGCCTTGCATTCCCCTCAGCCACCTGTAGTGGCAGCAAAGTGTGCAGCTAATGTGGCTAAGCTTTGCTGTCTTACAGATAGATGTGTTAGCAGATATGAGGGTACAGTTGTATTTCTTGATGTATATACTGTCGGATATGCTCAGATGCTTGGAGTAATTAAGATTTACCACATTGTTCATCGAGCAGCTCCAGCAGTTTAGAGCATTTCAGCACTGTCTGACTTTCATCACACCCAGATGAAGGGTCAGCAGCTAACACAGCGTGTTTCCAACTGAGGGGGAATGAAGAGCTGAGCACAAAGTGCAAGGCTACAGTGAACAAGCACAACAGGGACACTTTAAAATTGGAATATTTTTAGCAAATTGACATTGAAATTTTCTTGGAAAAACCTCCCCAAGAATTTACAGCAGAGCGTTGAGTTCATCAGTGTCTGTAAAATCGTCTGAATCTTCTGAATTCAGTCAGTAGGCCCTCCGAATCTCATAGGGCGACCAGGCGCTCACCCCCTCTTCCTTAGCCCAGGAGGAATGAGCTTCGGCGCCGGGGGTTAGGCTGCCGTGGCCGTCGGCCGCCTCCTCCGTCACCATCTTGGTCACCAGATCTGTGACGGGGCTGCTCATGTAGGGGGGGCAGGGGAAGGAGGAGGAGGAGGGTGTGGTGGGGTAAGTGCTGGTGGAGGTTAAAGGGTGATAGTGGACATCCTCCAGAGAGTGCAGAGTGTAGGGCTGGCTGCTGGAGACGGGGCCCAGCGAGGAGCTTCGGCTCGGGGAGCGGTACTGGGAGGGGCTCCCTGGAGGTTCGGGGCTGGGCATGGAGGGTGGGACGCTGACGGAGGCCAGGTTGTCCTGACACAGAGCCTCCACCTGAGGCTCAGACTGCTCCCACGAGTCTCTCTGGAGCAGGAAGACAGCAGAGGAAAGGATGAGTCATTTATTTCCTCATCAGATAGAACAAAGTCCCCGACATCACAGCAGAGCTTTTGTAATGACAGCGTTTCCTGTAGTGTCGCATTATTTCCTTCACTACCTTTGTTTCACTTTCCTGCCCTGCGAGCACGTCTGAAAGCCTGCGGACAAACTCGATCACTCTAGAACTCTTTAAATGGATCTCAGTAACTGTGATCTATCCATGAATACAGTTTTGGGTTTTCTAGAATCCTCTGTGCAGTCGAGGCAAACAGCCAATGGTGCACAAAAATGTAACATCAGAGCACAAACTGCAAATGTGGCTGAACGAGAAGCATGTCTGTTTGTCACTCTAAAAACTTCCACACACGCCATCAGAAGTGCAGTTAGGATGACGACCAGGCAGGCGTACTATCGGTGCCACGCCGCCTCTGTGACAGCTGCTAAAAGTTTGACTTTAGGGTCCAAATAGCTCCGCAAGATTATCAATAATTCCACTTATTAAATGTCCTTGTTAGTCTTGTTATATTTTCTTTAAACAGCAGTGCACAGCTAGCATAACTGTCCTGTGCTGGATGCTGTGCAGTCAGTGACCAGTCAAACAAAAACTTCACATAAAAAATGAACTTTTTTCATCTCGAACTGCGGTGGAAAGATTGCTCATTTAAAAATGCTCCACTCCGAGAAGAACGTCCTTCACTGTAATCGACAGTGTTGGGTAAGTTACTTTAAAATAGTAACTTAGTTACATTACTAGTTACTTCTATCAAAAGTAAC